TTTAAGCAAATATATTTATGCAAAATAAATGCATGTTCAATTCAAGCTTACATTTTCTCAAGTAAAATCAGTATATTCAAGATATATTAATAAAGCATATACCAATATCCATTAAGCACTCTATGTCCAACAAGAATAGGCAACCAAATTTTGCATAATTAGTTAAACATTCAAATTTTATCAAGAATAGGTAACCAAATTCAAATTCTCTTCAAATAAAAGTTTAGAGGTTATTCATCTCCATTGTGTATCTATAGTATTCAATCTTCAATTTCACATTGTAGCTTATTGCTCTAGCACACCTACAAGAGATAATCTCATTTGATTTTTGATACCCAAATTACTTTGGGTCCTTAAAAGTTAATCACAAAGTCTCTCGTTTTTTTTGGAACCCATACTTGCCTAATTCTAAATGAGACTTTTTTTCTAATAGGACAAATATGTATAGTATGACCATAAAAATTATAAAAATTACATTTAATCATTTTAGTACTTAATAAACTCTTTAAAAGCTTTTATTTTTCATTCATCAATTCATCAAATTTCTTTTTCAAATTAATTTTTTTCTAAAAATTCATTTCTACTTTGAGAGGTTTTTAAATCTATTTTCAACATTTCATTTTTTTTCTAAAATAATTTTTGCATTCATCAAAAGATCATTTTCAATATTCAATTTTGAGATCATTTTCTTATGTTTCAAATGCATATTTTCAAACTCAACTACTAAATCATTATAAGCATCTTGTAACTCATCAAAAGTATAGGAGTTTGAATCATAAGAGTTAGAAGTTACCTTTGGTTTCTCAATAGCTATGAGACATGATGGATGTTGGTTGAAAATTTATCTTTTATGTAGTTCATCCAACTTTCTCCATATCTCATTTGAGATTGAGCATTTTGAGACTAAATTAAAGTTGTAATCATCTAAAGCTCAATAGAGAATACACTTGGCCTTTGCATCATCCATTATTTGCTTCATATATTTTGCATCTTTGGAATGAGTATTAAGCCATTTTTTCATCACATTTCGTACTCCAAAATCTTGAGCCATAATGAATATTTTTATCCTTATTTTTCATTCATAAAATTTAAATTTATCAACCATATGAGCTTTAAAGATTTTTTCACTATCTTGAAATAAAAATTGAGCCATAGGAACTTTATTCAAAGTGATTAAACTTACAAAAAGAGATCAAAGCTTTGATACCAATTGTTAGCTTTATAGGTGAGATGGTGACCCAAGAGTGGGGGTGAATTAAATTTCTCCAAATTTTTTCTAAATAAATAATTTCAATATAATTGAATGAAAATTAAAACAATATGCACTTTGATGAAAATATAATGCAAACAATAACAATTAATGAACCTAAAATCAAATATAAACAATAATAAATTGTAAGGAGATATGGATAGAGAAATTAAACACAATGATTTATAAATGTTTGATCCTTCTCTACAAGGTACCTACGTCATCTCTCTTGGTTGTCCACACCAAGACTTCAATCTACTAATAGAAGAAAAATTCTTACAAGATACAAATCTATCTTGTACTAAATCTCTATATTTTTTTCAAAGCTTAGATAGTAACCTCTACCTTTACAATATCAATAGGATACCTCGCCTCTTGTTCTTTTTCACCATTGTATATGAAAGGTAATTTTACAAACAATAGAACAACCTCTCAAAGGCTAAGTGTTTGCTAAGTTTAAGTATAAGAAAATGATGAATGAACAACAAATATAATTTGGATACAATAAATACAAAGATATGGACTTTCAAGCTTTAAAAACTCTTGATTATTTGAGAGAATGAAAATATGGCTTGTTGGCTTTTGCTCTATTGATGCATTAACTTACTTGATGTGTTTGAGTGCCTAATTTATAAAGAAATTGAAGAAGTAGCAATTGGGGAAGCTTGAAAAGTGAAAGTAGTCATTGAATCATTGATAAAATAGTCGTTGGAGATGTCTATGCCCAGACTTAATCGATCCCTTCTACGAAGGGATCGATTGGTTCATGTTTTGAACCAATTTACGCTTGAAAATAGCCTAACCGATTTATCTCTTTTTGTAGAGGATCGATTGGTTAAGGAGGTGATCAATCCTCTTCTAGCTTTTTCAACACAAAGTTACTTTCTGGGTAAAAAAGCAATCAATCCCTTTTAGAGGGGATCGATCCTGTCCACGCTAAGTGGTAGTCTATCATTTTGCACTCTATTCACTAATTTAATTATAACTTGAGTTATACAAATCCAAATTACAAACCGTTTGGAGATTTATAAACTAAACTTAAATGCCTTTCTATCCATATAAAGTTCATCACCTAATTTACTGTATACGAATTATAGTAAATTTTCAAAGTTACTCATTGTGCAATTTTTAGACAACTACAGGGTGTTTAGTAAAAATTCAAAATCTTTTATTAAAAAATTTAGATTTAGATTTTGTTTGATCTATTAGAAAGTATACTCAAAGAACTCTCTAACCATATAAATTCAAATATTAAAACTTTATGAATTAATACAGACAAATAAAAAAAATTCAGTATTAGAAAACTTTGTTATTGTAAAACAACTTTCTTAAGTTAATCTATTTCTCAAAATCAATATTATTAAAATTGTATTAAGTCCAAAATGAATAAATTCACTTTAAAAACAACAATTGGACTTTTATTTAAGCTCAAATAAATAATCTTTAAAAATATATTTGATTTGAGAAATATGAAAACAAAGAAATATTTGTTTAAGTTTTGAAAATCATATTATTTATTTAGTACCAAAATATAAAACTTAAGAACATATACTAAATAAATTTTTTTTCAAAATCTTGATTAAATTTATTTAGCTTTAATGTTTATCATTTCAAAATAAGGATCAATTAAAGGCTAATAAATTATTTAAATAAAAGTATTTTAAATTTTATTACATATATAATATATGTAATAATAAAATTTTTTATAATATAAAATTGTTCATATTTTTAACAAAAGTTTCGTTTTTAATCTAAAAATGCCATATTCATTAAAATTTTTATTTAAAAACATAATATTTTTTGAATTTAAATTATATTTTTATATTTTTAACAAAAATCATTTTTTTAAATGTCATATTTACTAATAAAATTTTTATATTTTTAACAAAAAAATTATATTTTTTAAAATTTGAAAATTAATTAAAAAACAATATATAAAACTACTATGTTACTAAGGTAAATAATATTTTTTATATAATTAAAAAATTTATTTTTTTAATTTAAAAATTTCAAGGAAAGGGATTTTTTTTATTTCTCTTTTTTTTTTTTCAGTATTGGGATAGACCGGATATTAAGATTTATGATATAAGAGAAAGTTTTTAAATTAAATAATAAAAAATTAAAATTCGGAAAAAAATGATTAAAATAAAATCCAACCTAATGCCCCTAAAGATAGCCATAAGAAACTAATAGGCTCGTTAGCATTGGTGACCATAACTTTCAGGTAATTACCACCTGGGCAAAGCCGCAAAGGCTAAATTATTAAAGGTTGACCCTACTGAAAGCTAAATTGATGATGACACGTTACCAACCTAACCTTTGATTGTTTGACAGATAACAAGACACCAAATCTGAATCAAAATCCGTTTTTTGGTTACTTGCTAGCCATTAGAGTTTTTAATTTTAATTTATGTTGATATAAATTACGAAATATATATTTTTAATTTTATTAAATTTATATATAATTTTTATTAAAATTTTAAATTATATTTTTTATTTTAAATTATTTGAATGGTATTGATTTGTATGAAGTTAAAAAAATTTTAATTTTAATGTATTTAATATTAAAATTAAAATTTTTTATAATTTTTAATATAAAAAATTAATAAAAATTATAAAAATTATAAAAAAATATTTTTAAAATATAAAAAATATGTAATTTTAAAACATCTAAAAAAATAGATAAAAAATGGGATGAAAAACTATTATTTTTATTTTTTATCATCTTTTTACATATTAAAGTTTTACAATAAAGAAGAAAAACAATTAAAAATTAATGAAAATAAAAGATTATATAAAATCTGGATTTTCAAGTTGCAAGGTACAAAAAAGGCGGTTGGTGATAGTTGTTTCCACGAAATTGTTTAATTTTAACCGCGAATTTAGCGGCGTCCAACAGTTTGACCCGTGTTGGAGTTGTATTTAAAACTTAGGGGTAGGTGTGGAAAATCCTCCTCTGGCATCAGCTTTCTTGACCTTTTTTTTTATCCTTATCTTTTATTTTAATATATAATATTTATTATTAATTTTTACAATAAATTTAAAATTTTATTATGAACGAAATTAAAAATTTATCGCATATTTTATAAGAACATATTTAAAAATAATAAAATATATTATTTTTATTATAATTGTTTTTAAGTGTTTTAACTGCAAGAAAAGGGATGAAGTTAAAAGTGAAGGATATCTTAAATATGTAGCCAAAAAATATTATTAGGGAATGTCGAACTTGTTGCCCTGAGAAGCGCTCTTACTCTCAGGTCAGTATTGTATCAAAGATAAGGTAAAAGTAAGAAATCGAAGGTGACGAGAGATGTGGAGGAAGCTTTAATGGAAGGAAGCTTCAATGGAGGAAAGTTTAGAGTATGTAGTAGAGTTATGTATTTTTATTATGTATTTGATCTTTTAATTACTTTTTATATAAGATTGAGAGACGAATAATTAATAATTGATGTAATATTTATGATAAATTTTAAAAAAATTATGTAAATAAATATAAATTATATTTAATAATTTTAAATTAATGTGAATTATATTTAATGATTTCAACATTAAATGTCAAACCATCATTTTTAAAATGATAATTTTGATAAGTTAGTGGTACCTTATGAGAAAGTTAAGCTATTTTTTTGGAACAGATGACCTAATTGTATAAGTATGTTTTATTTAAATAATTTTAAGATATGATTGTGTTAATTAAATCTTAATTAAATTAATTATTGATCAATTAACTTAAGCATAATAATTTTTTATTTAAAATATAATACTATTTAGACTATATGATCATCTTCGTCTCTCTCAATAATGATTTTTTTAATTATCAATAATTAAATTTTAATCAAACTAGTTAGTATAAACCTGAGACTAACAACTGTATAGATTGGAACTGCATATTATTAAATTTCCCAATTCCAGTCACAAACGCATAAGCCAGTCGCCACACGTCGCTTTCTAGCCGGACCGAAACTCAAACGTTACCGTTTTCACGCCAAATCGGCGGCTTATTTGTCTTTATCATGTCTCCTTCCTTTCTATTAACAAAAAGCAATAACTTTTCCTAATGGAGGAGATTTTTCACCGCTGTTTATCGTTTCTCTAACGAAAGCTCTAGGGTTTCATTATCAAATTCTTTTGGATTTGTAACGTTGGTTCAAGAGGGAGAGAAATTGAATGGCGGTGGAGTACAAATGTTGCGAAACGGATTTCTTTATTCACATATTGGTAATAGTATTGCTGGTGATGTTCGCTGGGATGATGTCGGGCCTTACTTTGGGCCTTATGTCGATGAGTCTTGTTGATCTTGAGGTTCTTGCCAAGTCTGGTACTCCCCAGGATCGTAAACATGCTGGTATTTTATTTTTTAATTTCCTCCATTTTATTCTTTTGTTTCTTTAGAAATGGATTTAATGCTTTTTTCATTGATTTATTTTTTGTGTAATTAACGAAAGAAAATGAAAGAATAAAAAAGTTGATAATATATATTTTATTGTGTTGCTGATGGGAATGATTTGCATGCCTTAGCTTTACTAAATGTTTGCTTTATTTTTATTGAGGAGAACAAATGAATTAGAATCATGAATGGGATGGTAGAATCTTTACTTTTTGAGAGAGTTTTTGTTTGTATCGATTTGTCCTGGAGGAGTAAAACCTGAAAACACAGCAAAGAGAAAGAGAGCGGTTAACAACAAAGGTTAAAGATGGTCCTAGCATTTGTATTCTGACACTCAACTTAGAGATTCAAAGAGTCTTAAAAAGAAAAGAAAGGGATAGTGTTTAAAGGCTAATAATGCAAGATGGGTTGAGACACTTGGATGGTGTTATTTATGTCTATGAGATGGGGTTTTGGGTTTAGGCTGCTCAGGTAAGCTCTAGTTCATCAGCCCTAAAGAAGTAAAGAAGTAGGCTTAAGCTGAACTCGCAGTTGACCGTCCATTCAGGATGGGACAAACCAGCATCCTGGGGCTTTAGCATGTAGGCTGCTGACATGTCAGATTGCCCTGAATTTCCAGGTCAACTGCGAGTAGGTTGAGAGACACTTGGATGGTGTTATTTATACCTATGAGATGGGGTTTTGGGTTTAGGCTACTCAGGTCAGCACTAGTTCAGTGCTAGTTCATCAGCCCTAGAACTAGAGCTGACCTTGTAGGCCCAAGCTAAACTCGCAGTTGACCATCCATTCGGGGCAGGACAAACCAGCATCCTGGGGCTTTAGCATGTAGGCTGCTGACATGTCAGGCCGCCCTGAATTTCCAGGTCAACCGTGAGTAGGTTGAGAGACACTTGGATGGTGTTATTTATACCTATGAGATGGGGTTTTGGGTTTAGGCTGTTCAGGTCAGCTCTAGTTCATCAGCCCTAAAGAACTAGAGCTGACCTCGTAGGCCTAAGCTGAACTCGCAGTTGACCGTCCATTCAGGGCGGGACAAACTTGCATCCTGGGGCTTTAGCATGTAGGCTGCTGACGTGTCAGGCCGCCCTGAATTTTCATATCAACTGTGAGTTCAGTTTGGCCTTACGAGGTCAGCTCTAGTTCTTTAGGGTTGATGAACTAGAGCTTACCTGAGCAACCTAAACCCAAAACCTCATCTCATAGGTATAAATAACATCATCCAAGTGTCTCTCAACCCATCTTGCATTATTAGCCTTTAAACACTATCTCTTTCTTTTCTTTTTAACACTCTTTGAATCTCTAAGTTGAGCATTATAATACAAATGCTAGGACCATCTTTAACCTTTGTTGTTAACCGCCCTCCTATCTTAAATTACAAAAATCTTATAATTGTCAAATGATTATAATGCCCCTTACGTTTTAAATGACAAAAATACCCTCTTATAAATGATAAATTATTGTGGTACTCTTATGTCATAATTATGAAAATGCCCGTCACCCCATAATTGACTAAAATTACTTTAATGTCCCTCTTACTATAATTATAGAAATGTTCCTACTACTATAATTGACCGAATTTGTTAAAATGTCCTATAATAATTACGAAAATGCCTAAATGATATAAAATTAACTACATTTTAAATTAACTATTGTAATTCAGGTCGGCCTGACATGTCAGCTTGGCCTAAATGAACAAAATACCTCTGCTTGTTAGCTGACTTGTACTAATGAGGGAAAAATCCACTTTGCCCTTTGGACACGAAAATGCCCCTAAAAAGTTTGATGTAAAATTTTCTATATTGCTTGATAATTTAGGTTGTTCATTGAGATTTATGGTTCATACTATATTTTTAAAGAAATCAAGTGAATGAAAGAAAAAAATCTAAGAATTTTAATCAATAAGGTTTTTAAGACTTGGGAATTTTGTTCCTAAAATGAAGCAAAGTTTGAATGGTTAATGATTGATAATGTCATTTTTTGTCTGATGTTGTTTTATATACTGCATGTCCAATATTCTGATTAAATGCTGGCCATGCTAACTTTATCCCTTGTGGAACAGCAAAGATATTGCCGGTTGTCAAAAAACAGCATTTGTTGCTTTGTACACTACTTATATGCAATGCTGCTGCAATGGAGGTATATATCATAGATGCATCTTCAACAGGTGATCTGATAGATGTTTTGGAAAATATTAGTTAATTTTTGGAACTTTTTGTTACTTTTTTCTGTAGGCACTTCCCATTTTCCTTGATGGTCTGGTCACAGCTTGGGGTGCTATCCTGATTTCGGTGACCTTGATTCTTCTGTTTGGTGAGGTGAGAATCAACCTTAGATTATTTGAATTGGAGCGGTTTTGAATTCAGCATAGGTAGACATCCTTGTTGAACCATGAAAATTACATTTTGTGATATGACTCTTTTGATGTGTGTTACTCAGATATCATTAGCTAAAATTTTTTGCTGGCAACTTTTTCCAGAAGGTTCCAGCAGTTGGTTTTAGATATTGTTTTCCAACCATCTGGCTTAAGACCTGCTCTTGGAAAGTGAAATTACATGTAGCTGCAATAAAAAGGCAGCAAGTTTTGTGCATTTCCTGATTGCAATTTAATTGTATGTGCAGATAATACCGCAATCTGTTTGTTCTCGATATGGTTTGGCTATTGGTGCAACGGTGGCTCCATTTGTTCAAGTTCTTGTTTGGATCTGTTTTCCTGTTGCCTACCCGATAAGCAAGGTGATAAATGTTGCTTTATGCACTCACCATTAATGCTTTTAAGATAATGAGAAAGACAATCAAGCTTGTAAATTCCTGCAAATAGCTCTCTTGACTGTAAATATCTTGTGTGATTTTCAGCTGTTAGACTTTCTGCTGGGCCACGGACATGTAGCACTTTTTCGAAGAGCTGAGTTGAAAACCCTCGTAAATTTGCATGGCAACGAGGTGTGCTTAACAGCTTCTTAGTTGTTCCAGGAAATATTGTGTAAAAGCTTTTATTGTTCCCTATAGTTGCATATATCACTTTGTTCTGTAACTTAGTTGTTATTAACTTAGTTGTTTCCATTTTTCGAATCAATACTTGTTAGTGATCATTGATTTCACCTGCCATGCCATTAATTTGTTATTGTTAGTTTCTGACTTTGCTTAACTGCCTCTGTAACGTGTCTTCGCTTTCTGAATTGCACGCCTTCTTTCATAGAATCTGCTTTCTTTCATCATAAATTTCAGATTTATGATCCTTTTATTGGCCCTTTATTAGGCTGGAAAAGGTGGAGAACTGACGCATGATGAGACAACAATTATAGCTGGAGCACTTGAGCTCACTGAGAAAACAGCTAAAGATGCCATGACTCCTATATCTGAAACGTTTACAATTGATATTAATGCCAAGCTTGACAGGTATGATTTTCTGTAAATTATAGCTTTTGCATCTCTTTTTCAGCTTTCATTAGATTAGCAATCATTTCATGCTTGCTATGGACAGGGACTTGATGAGTTTAATTTTGGAGAAAGGACATAGCAGAGTGCCAGTTTATTATGAGCAGCCTACAAACATAATTGGACTCATTCTGGTAATTATTTTTCTTTGGCTGCAACTAATGTTAATAACAGTTTGTTGAGTGTTATGCTATGCTTATTTTCAGCTTATCTTTTGCTCTCCTTCAAAGTGCTTCCTTTAGCGTGAAATTTTGGAACTGGATGATGCTCCATGATATGATGAGCTTTCCAGTTTATGATGCTAATGGTTGCATGAATTATGTGATGCACCCCACCACCCTTATACCCTCCCTTTCTGAATACCTTTTACCATCAAGTGCTTAGTATCTGGCAGTGCATTTAATATGAGTCCCCTTCTGAATATTAATATTTTTGTTACTAATTCGACTTTTTCCTATTCCTTTGGCTATTGTTTAAAAAACTTCTGGGTATTAATTGTGTATTTATTAAACTGTTTGTCTTTTAATCTTAAAGGTGAAGAATTTATTGACAATTCACCCTGAGGACGAAGTACCTGTGAAGAGTGTTACTATACGAAGGATTCCAAGGTATCTTATAGTAAATGAACTCGTAAAAATATAGACGACTTGTATTTGTATTATTCTGCAAAGCACTGTCTACCACTTTACTCATTGGTTGATCCGATATATATTTGCATGTTGTAGGGTTCAAGAAACATTGCCATTGTATGATATATTAAATGAATTTCAAAAAGGTCATAGCCACATGGCCGTCGTTGTAAGACAGTGCAACAATACAGAGCAGCTGCCTTCATGTAACTCTGCTGGGAGTAAGTATCAGCCTCTTTATGGGTATACTCCCTCCGAATTTCCACTCGTACTATGACTTAGCAGTCCATAGAAACATATTTATGACGCAAATTCTTTATTTATGCCTGGCTGCCATTTTGAGATTTGTTTGTTTGTTTGTTTTGTTTGTCTCCGCTCTCTCTTAGGTCCCTTGCCGGAAGTGAAAGTTGACATTGACGGTGACAAACCTCCCCAAGAGAATGCTTTAAGACGCAAGAGATCACTTAAGAAGTGGAAGAGCTTTCCCGCAACAAGTAATTCTGTTAAAGGTGGTTCTCGGGGCAAGAAGTGGACAAAGGGTATTGATTCAGATATCCTACATCTAAATGGCAATCCACTCCCAGAGCTCCCTGAAGAAGAGGAGGCTGTTGGCATAATAACAATGGAAGATGTCATTGAAGAGCTTTTACAGGTACTACTGACTAAAAGTTTAGCAAGCTTCTGATTTCATTTTTGTCAACAGTTTCTCAAACGTTTGCCTTATATGTGACCTTGGCCAGGAAGAGATCTTTGACGAGACGGATCATCATTACGAGGACTCATGACATTCGTCTTGCCACAAAGTTTTTGTGTAATACAGATAATGATGAAAATATTTGGTTTGATAGGGCTTATATGGGCATATTCGAGACTGTACCGTTGTTACTTGTATACAAATGCAATGGGAAGTTGAGTGAACAAGGGGAACTGTATTTTAAGGATGTTAAAAACTTGTGTAATTGCATATGGAAGCGACAAATTTCTAAGCAATGAGCAAAAACAAGATCTGTATATATGTGACAATCTTAAATGTTTTGAATTACATATGGAAGTGACAAATTGCAGCTCTTATGCCAATCTGCACCAATGTTCGCACCCTTCGAATCGTTCATTTTCCGACAAGTTCAAAGAATTACTCACTTGTGATGTTTACTTCTTTTCTTATCCTTCCTCTTCTTTTTCTTATGTCTAGATTTTTCTTGAGATTTGTGCTCCCTAGGATGATGCTTCTTGTCTGAGCTCTCAGAATGGTCCTTTTCTTTCTTCTGTCTATGTTCATGAAGTTCCTCATCGGAAGAAGATTCATCAGACTTCAGTGAAGATGGCTTCTCAGGACCTAACATCACACGATGTTCCCTTCCAATGAGGCTTGCTGACAACTTCCCTGGGGAATCAGAAATAGAGGGTAGGTAAGGTCCTGTTTCATCCATCCTTGAACCTATAGAACCTCGACCGCGCTTCTCCCTGTTATCATAAAACAGTTCACGTCAGTCAAATTTGCACCAATCTGAATAACATATATAGCCAAATGCGTGACTGCACATCTAAACACGAGGCTGATAACCGCTCATTCTACCCCAGCACAATAGTTTTTCATATGGAAGAAAAATTACAGCTAGTTGCAGGTACGAACCTTGACTGAAGAAATTCCTCAACTTCTTGATCTCTTAGACCTTCATCTTGCCTTGAATAACAACTCTCTGCCACTCTCTTGCTTGATGAGCATGAAGCACTAAAATTGATCTCATGCCGCCTACTTGCGCTTCTTGGGGGGCTGCTAATGTCCGCATGACTCCTGCTGTGCCTGCTATCATCTTTTGATCTTCTTTTCAGACTATCATTTAGCTCCAGCTCCTTTTGTCGAACTCGCCACATCTCATTCACTTCAACAGCTCTATTTGCTGAAAAAGAGGCGGAAAGAAACAGATGCAGACAATAGACACATTAGCAAGAAAATCTGAAAGGAAATAATCATTTGCAAGATTAACATCTATATATATCTATAGATATTATAGCTGGTCCAAAAGATCCATCCAAATTCAATGTACCAGAAAATATAGGGGGAAAATTGAAAGATTATCATCCTATCTTCTTATTTTTCTATTTTTCTTGAATGCATGTGTCCATACTTATGCTTCCCAGCATCATCTAATTAGAAACAATTTCCCTGAAAAAAAAACTCTCTTTTCTTTTAGGTACGTAAAAGATCTCTGTTCTTCCACATTTCCAGATTGGAATTTACAAAACTAGCAAGTGTTCTTAGCAATCTAACCTTACTCTAGAACTTGCTAGCAAGCAAAGAAGGTGAGGACCAACCATCAATTGCAAAGCACTTAAATCTAGAATAAAACAGAAGAAAATGCAAGCTTAATACGCAACAGAATAGCTAACCTTGCTGTACCCCAAGCACAGTTGCAGTGAGGAACCTTGAATTTGGCCGACCCCTTACTTTTGGCTTCTGAAGATAAACATGAACACCTTCCCTGTCTGCTTGTCGCTTCAGTTCGGCTGCTTCTTTTAAAAGAATAGCAGCTATTCTGTTTTCTGTTTCCAGATCCATCTAAGCTGCAAAAGCATAGTAAACACCAGATGAGTTAATAGATTTCCCATTGAAAATACATAGATAATTCAAGATCACCAAAAGAAAATCTTAAAAAAGACGACTTTCATAAAATCCATAAGGAAACTAATAAGCACAAAATTGAAAAATTATGCGCAAAAACCAAACTGAATCGGTTCAAAAACAGTGATCAAATATGAAAACTTCACCCTTTAAATTGCTTAGATGAAAAATATGAAATTTCGGCACAGTTCTATTCATTCTGCCATATCCAAATGCAGCGTCAAAGAAAAAAAAATCAAAATCCAAAGGAAGAAAACAACAATTCGAATCAAATTTCTCGAAAAACCCTAAAGAGAAATTAGAAACCCGTTTTCTTACAGACAATTCTATTTCTATAATTTCCTCGAAACCGACATTAGCAAAGATAATAAGATTTCTCCGCAAAATATATATATAAAAAAAATGAAAAAGAGAAAAATTACCTAATCAAAATGGATGAACCTACGCGATTCCAACGTAGAAACCGATTCAATTCAAGCAACCACACCGCTTCTCCTCTGGAATCCAAAACCCTAATCCTAGTTATCTTTCCAATTGGGAAGAACCGACACCCGTGGCATTATATATTTATATATATATATATATATTCTCTTGGATTGGGTGCATGCCACGTGTGATAATAGCAAGAAAAAGAAATGGTCCCACATGACGTGGCACAAGTTGACTGATAGTACTTTATTCGGACTGCGTTGACGTTAAGCTAAACGCTGAGGCTCGATCTTTGCTTTGGCTCAAGTCTCAAACGCTTCTTCTCTTACAAAACAAAGGCCATCTCAATTTTTTTTTTTTGGAAAATCTGAAAACGTCTGCGATGAGCAATCTATCAACTTCAATGATTTCTTCATCTTCCTCTGCTTTCATAGCTCCAACCAGTTTCAATTCAAGGTACTAATTTTTTTTTTCCAATTTCTTGGCTCTGTTTGGTTGTTGAGAAAACAAAGTGCAACTTCTCTTTCTTTTTATCATTTCAATTGAAAAAGGTTCTTAGTTTTTACAGTTTCTAATTTTCTCCTAATGGGCTTTTTTTCTTTGGAATAATGCTGCACAACCCAGTATTTCAATTCTATTGAAAGGCATTAATATAGTTAAATGTGTTGCCACTCCTCAAGAACAGCAGAATGATGCTTATTCTTTTTCTTTTTTTCCCCTATTTATCAATGTCTTTTTTATTCTTGTTGCTATACATTTTGGGTATATGAAAACTTAAAACTTGAGTAGTTGAGCCGGTAATGTTACTAAGAGCAACGGTTTATGAGTAGTAGCACAAATTACTTAGTAATGGTATTTGTATTTTCTATAAATCCTTTTACATTTCAAGAATTTTATGACTAATGGCGCTGAGTTGGTTGTTGTTTGTTTTGAAGCTTACAAAACTAAGGTTTCTCGCAATCTGAACATAGCCAAGCTTCAAGATGGTTACCTGTTTCCTGAGGCCTGTGGCTCTTCCCTTTAAATTGTAATGCTTGTATTTATTGCCATTGGAGTTATTCGTGTAGATTCCAGTGTTATCATGGGTCAGACTGGACAGTTTCAAAAGGACATTGAGAAGTATGCAAATATTGAGTACATGAGGTGTACACCAGAGAATGGATTCTTTCCTGATTTGTCCACTGTTGCTAGAACAGATATCATATTTTCTGTTCACCAAACAATCCTACTGGCGCTGCTGCAACAAGGGAAGCAATTGACTCGATTGGTTCAGTTTGCTAAGGAAAATGGGTCTATCATTGTCCATGATTCTGCATATGCCATGTACAAGTCAGATGACAACTCACGTTCTATCTTTGAAATTCCCGGAGAAAAAGAGGTAATTCTGGAGTTAATGATTTGTTCCTTCGCTAGTGCTTGTTATATAGAGTGGTGAAGGATAATTGTACGTTTGATGTACAAATTTCCTTATTGTTATTGTAGGTCGCACTTGAAACAGCTTCCTTTAGCAAGTACGTTCGTTTTACCTGAGTTCCTCTTGGTTGGACTGTTGTTCCGAAACAGCTTCTATTTTCAGATGGATTTCCGGTTGCCGAGGACTTCAACCGTATTGTTTGTACTTGCTTTAATGGTGCATCTACGCCCAAGCTGGTGCCTTGGCTTGCATTTCACCTGAAGGGCTTGAGGTTAGAGTCCTTACCTGGCTTTGTCGTCAACATATGGAATGAGAAGAAATTTCCAAATGTTTTTCGTTCAGTTCACCAAGCTTGTAATGTTCTGAAAATATTATTTACAGCAGATGTTCTGAATTGCAGCACCCTGATTTTTAGATTTTGTTTCCTTGCAGGCTATGCAAAAGGTGATTGGCTTCTACAAAGAAAATACGAAAATTATAGTAGAGACATTTAACTCGCTTGGGTTTAAAGTGTATAGAAGAAAGAATGGTCGAAACTCATGGGATGTGTTCAGTGAGATACTTGAGAAGACCCACATTGTTGCTACTCCTGGAAGTGGTTTCGGACCTGGTGGTGGAGGTTTCCTCTGGGTCAGTGCATTTGGTCACAGGGAAATGTCTTGAAAGCCTGCAGAAGATTCAAGCAGCTTTACAATTGAACCAATAGCATTTGACTGGTTTAGGGAGTCTTGGTTTTGGACCTGAGATGAAAAGCCAGCTGCTTTTATGATTTTTGTTCTCTTTTCTTTAAGGAACATTGATCGTGATATCTCATTGGATTCAATGTTTAGAAAATGTTAGAAATGCGGAGTTTGTCATGTAAAATTAGTTTCATCTACGGATCTCTGGCTTTTATTTATTTAATAATAAGTTAATGGAACACGTTTCAAGCATGAAGCACCTGTATTCTCTGAGTCATACAAAGCTGACCCAAAATCTGCATATTTTTGAGCAAACGAGCAGAAAAAGTATAGACTGGCTTGGGAAGCCTTTAGCCTAAGTCACTGTAGGCTTGTAGCTGTTTTTCAAGCCTCAGGGAAGCCAGTAATGTCACATGATATGGTTTCTTGTTTAGGTATAAAGGCCTTTCAGCTGGTTGGCTGTCCAAAGTGTTTATAAGATGCTTCTGCCATGAGGATGTCTTGAAAAAGGACTCTCACCAGGGAACATCTCGATTCATTTATCCTTAGTATATTTGAGGTCACTTTCTACTGAATTTACTGCAGGGAAATAAAGCCTGAGGCCTCCAACTTCATTCCGATTCATTTACCGAATTACTCTCATCAAGCAAAAGTAGCAAAATAAAGCCTAAGGCCTTCAACTTCATTCCGATTTTACATACATGAACGAGATACGATGGAGATTTACTATTTTACATTGAGTACAGTATTAAGTATGCCCTAGTACAACAACACTATTCTTAATACAATCTACAATCTAAGTAAAAGTTAGATCCTAGAACGCTAGAACTGTTCGATACCTTTCATAATCTCGGCTTTGCAAGTTGTTTTGTAATGCCCAGTCTGGTTACACCGACTACAATGCACTGTGTGTTTCTCACGATTAAGATCCTCTACACATAACCGTTTCTTTTCAGGGCGTCCTGGTGGCCGACGAAACTTGGGTGGTCGCATGACTTGAGCATCCTCATCCATCAGACAAGGAGCCACACCGATCTTCTTCCAGTCAATCTTCCGAGGTATAGGGTGTATCTCTTCAGAATATGTCTCACGATACTTGGCAACAGTAAAACATTTCTCTGTGAAAGCATATACATCTTTTTGGCATGACATCAGTGCTGCCACTGCATGTGAACAAGGTATTCCATAAAGTTGCCAATCACGACAAGAACAAGAACGTTTCCCAATATTCAAAATATCTGATCGTTCAGCTGATATAACCTCAAATTCTACTTCATCTGACCGTAGAACTTTATATGATGATGCACGGTTGATAGCTTCTAGCATACGTGTCTCAGCAGAAGGGGCAAGTGCAGAAAACCAGGAACGACCTTTAGTTCGCCGGTCCTCAAACTCAGACATCAATTTGCTGTGAATTTGCTCAATCACCTGGATTATGGGTAACTCTCGAGCTTCAAGAATCCACCGATTAAATTCTTCAATGTTTGATGAGAGGTGACCATAACGTTTTCCTTCGAAATATACCAATGCCCAGTGGGAAGGAGGAAATTGTTGTATCCACTTTGCAGCTTCAGGAGAAACCTCCTCTATTTCAGCCATTTTCTCCTTAAAAGCAATAGTAGTTGTAGCATATGCAGCTTTCCAGAGAAGATGAACTAGCCGTGAGTTCTTGAACTCTCTGCAAATGCTTTCACTCAGATGGTGCATGCAAAGGGCATGATAGGAATTTGGGAACTTTCTCCTTACAGCATCTACGATACCTTTTTGTCCATCTGATAGAAAAGTGAGCTGGGGCATTTTCTCAGAATTCATCTCTAAAGCCTTATGCAACTCTGACAAGAACCAAATCCAGCTATCATCGTTTTCTGTATCAACAACACCAAATGCAAGTGGAAATAAACCACCATCCGCATCAAAAGAAGTTGCTGAAAGCAAAGTTCCAAGGTACTTGCTTTTAAGCTGGATTCCACCAAGCCCAACAATAGGCAAGCATCCATTCAAGAATCCATATATGGATGCATGAAATGAAACAAACAGCCGCTGGAACCGATTATCTGCACCAGTGGCGAACACCTCTGTGATACTTCCAGGGTTTGTTTTCTTTATCTGCTCGCAAAAAGCAGGAAGCAAGCAGTAACCTTCTTCAAAAGAGCCATAAATAGCAGCAAGTCCTCGTTCCTTTGCACGCCAAGCTTGCTTGTATGGTATAATGATCCCATATTGTTTATAAATGTCATGCAATATATCCTTTGGTTTGTAATTGATGTTATCCCGTAGTCGTTCCTCTATAAAACTGACAATCCAATCTACAGAAGCTTGATGGTGCCCATTTTGCGCATTTTTCCCACAAGTATGTATTCCTTCAAGGCTTCTTATTGTAAAAGTTGGGGCATTAGGAAGCTTAACTGCACGAATGCGCCATGGACATCCTTCTGCAGCACACTTAGCAAAATAACGAATAAGGTCACTTTTTATAATACGCAGCTCAAAGTGTTGTGCAATGGCAGCTTCTTTAATAGCATTACGGAAGGCCTTGACATCAGGGAACTCCTGACCAACAACAAAAGTGTGGTCTTCCATGGAACAACTAACACAAATTATGACTCCACCTTTCCATGTAAGAATCAACTAATTAGCTTTGTCTTGCCCGAGATGGCAAGAAAGTTAACTTTTTCACTCAGGGAAAGAAGTTAATAAGGCCAACCTTTTTGAAGTCAATGCACAAACCATTCAGGAAGCTCCGCATGAACACTTTAAAGAATAAAGTAAATAACCATAAAAAAGTCTGCAAGAGAAAGGAACATATTAGAGTTGATGTCATAAAAAGGAAAGCACTGGTTTCATCCAAGGAAGAACCTATGGTTCTGAATTGAGTATCAGTTTACATTAACAAAAGAAAAGTGCATTACTGGTTCTTTACATAAAGCATTACAAGAATACCATCAACTACAAAAATAAATAAATAAATAATGAAAACGATTGAGAAGGTATGATTCAAATGATTCACATCTAGCCATATTTACGAACTACCAAAGAACCAAATAGGCAATTCCTAATTCATTGGAAATATACATTGTATAATTGCTAGGAGAACCTAGGCTGGCAGAGAAAGGAGTATTCTAGATATACTTCAAATGACTATCTTAACTGAATAAACAAAATCATGCCATCCTACCTAAAGACAAAGCCAATTGCTAGATACGCAGTCTTCATATTGGCAAGCGGCAATTTTATTCTAAAGCAGGAACAAATACTAATAATAATCTATTAAAACCAGGCTGTGAACCACATATACCATAATAAAATATTTATAATGTAAAACCCAAAATTTTTTTAAGGGAATGCATTTACAACAGTAATTACAATGGAAATTGTCATCATAATTCAGAAACACAAAATTTTTTCCAAAAGTTTATACAAGAAAACCCAGAAAGAAAAATCAGAGAAAAAACTACTCAGGACACTGTAATAGCTAACTTTCAAGGACCAAAAAAGGAAACCTTTGAAAACAAGAAAAAAATTAGAACCTTTTCCCATTAACACTCTCATGCCAATAACAACAAAACCAACATAAAAACAAAAATTATAGAAAACCCAAATCAAATTACGTTAAAAAAAGGGAACTTTCAACATTAAAACCAAAAATAAAATAAATTCCAGAACGGAAACAAAGATCTAAAAAAGTAAAGCTAAAGATAAAAAAAAAAAAAAAAGCTTTTTTTCAATATATTAATTTATAAGAATACCTTTGTACTGACCTTAAGTAGATTTGAAAAAGAAGGTTGCAATGGGAGGATCCAGAGAGAAGAACGTGATCTTCAATTCATTTTGGGGACGAATTGGGGATAATAGCATAGAAAATCTGGGGAAAGATTCAGGTTTGATTAGGTCACAATTAGGGTATTATTGTCTTTTTGTTTTCTGTGAGGGTATTCCGGTCATACCGTTATTTTTCTCTCTTTTTTTTTTTTTTTATTTTTTAAGGTTTTCAATAAATTTATCATAAAATAGAAAAAAAAAAAAAATGGTAACACACGTTTAAGCTTTGTAATGAAAGAAAAAGGGTTTATCTCAAACGATTTTGGTCAACAGACAATTTTAGAAATTTATTTTTATAAAATAATTCGAAAATTTAATTCAATTGACTTAATATTTAAATTTTAATATTTATAATTTATAATTTTTATATTTTATAAAAAAATAATAATTTAAATTTCACTTCAAATGATTTTGATTTCATTTAAATTATTAGTATTTAAAACCCAATTCTCATACTTGTGAAAGAAATTTCATTCTTTTTTAGGAAAAAAATGGAGCTTGTAACATGTAAGAATTAACAATAATTTTCATTTATTTTCTTTTCATAAAAAATTCCTATAATATCAATTCACATTCTACATTTTTTTTAAACTTGTAATTGGGATGGATTAGAATTGGTTAAAAATCTTAGATTTGAATAGTAATATAGTAATGCTTCTTCCAATAGCATATAATGTTAAAAAAAAATTCAAATTCAAAGGAACTTTTTGTTGCACAGTATTGGGCACATTACAGATGCTAATTTTCCTCTCCTATAGCAATTACATTGATGATGGATCCCAACCTTACAGGAACTCCATTATCTAGAGATTACCCTGTTTCAATTTTTTTTCTTGGAAATTTATCTTGTTTCCAGCTTTGTCTACCTCAGTTAATGGGAGGAGCCCTATGGTAAGCTGGGACGGTCACCGGGAAAAAAACCTGTCTGACTCCTTCAGCTCTGAGTATGGGAAAAATGATGCCTGATGCGCCCTGACAATTGGAACACGGGAAAATTGGATCAGATCAGATAGAAGATTGAATAGTTTACAGTTCTAATTTACAAGGAAGATGTAGAGAGACTAGAGATATGCATACCGAAATCAATTTAGCACCAATCCAAAAACGTTTTGGAGAAGGAAATGGAAGTAACAAGCGTCCAACGCCAAAGACAGCTACAGCAAAGAAATGAAAAACCAAACTCAAAGGGCGAGGGTTCAAGCCAGAAAGGAGAGCTATGGGACCATTTGAAAATACACCTCCGAGGCTCAAATAGTCGAAGCATGCCTGGCGCATTTCTTTCCTAGCCGGGTCAGGAGATGCACAGAACACCTTGTACAAGGCACCGGCTAATGTATTTATTGTTGATGCCACAGGCTGCAGAGAACATTGAATGAGGCACCATTTTGTTAATCAATGTGCTTTTTGTAGCGGATGTATTTGATAGGAAATATGGGCATGTTTGTTTTTTGGTTTTTACCTTCCGCAGGGTGTAGAAGGATTCGAGGTATCTGCAGAGAGCAGAAGCATCATGGAGATCATGTAATGGTCTAAGAAGATCTCTAAGAACAGCAACATCAGATAAAGCCACAGTCATTCCTCCACCAGTTAAAGGGTGCCGCATGTTGAATGCATCCCCCATCAAAAGTGCTCCAGGAGTTGGATATGGAGAGGCAGGCATGCTTCTGTTATGCATTGTTCTTATGTTTCCTTTGTCAATTGCAGATATGAAAGCACTGTACAGCTCTGGGGGAATCTGAAAAGGTTCAAATTAATCATTTTAAAAGTTTCAACTCTCAGCTGGTTGAATGTTGTGTCAAATTTGGCCCACATTACAGATGAAGAAAAGTGGGGTTAAAATTTCTACGTTTTATAAGCAACTTGGTCAGGCATCAACGATTGAAGGACAAAAAACCTGGTCAAGCAAATAGTAGTAGTAAATATATGTACCTGAGGAGCCACCACAGTCTTCAAATAGTGTGCCATTTCGCCATTGGGAATTGAAGGGACCTTTTGGCCAGGCACATCCACTAAACAGCGGATTTCACTGCTACTGATAGGATAAAACAAGATAGGTGAAGGATCAGCCAATATAACATGCCCATGATTGAGATATGGAAGATCACAATTCTCCAGGATCAGGCCAACAAAGCAAGAAGGAATATCAACCTGAAAGGTTTATGGGATGATTAATCCTACTACACTAGTATTTATATATGCAGAAATGAAAAAATTAATTTCACATGGCGGTACTGATCATGTGCCATGCCTAATTATTTACCTTTGGGTTACAGAGGGAGCGTCGCAAATTTGAAAAACAACCATCACATACAATCGTGAGGGGAGCATTTGCTGTCTGCTCTTGGCCTTCGTTGGTTTTATAATGCACGCCCTTTATAGTTCCTTTTTCTTCAAGTAAAGATGTTACAGTGCCTTGTTCCAAACTTACACTGTACACCAAATTAAGCAATACGATCCAAATAAGAGTTAGAAACCACTTCAAGGAATTATATGGAAATCTCTGTACGAATTTTTCTACTATATTAATCTGAGAATTGGCTTTAAAGATGGCTATGTCATAATTACTGTAGTCTGAATTTTTATTTTTTACAAATAAGGTAGCAACTTGGAATAAGAGAAGGTTACAGGCGCTGGGATTCAAGTCCCAGACCTGCTGGCTACATGAACCAATTGAGCTAGGCTCCGGTTCAAGAGATCTCTTCTGCATTTCTAATTATGTATTTTCAGAGTTACAGGTGAAGGAAAGAGTACTTGGGAAGGGAAGCAGCTTTCTCTCGCATCTTTTGAATGAATCGTCCATAATGGAAGCCTCTACCGGACACATCGGAACGAAAACCTTCCAATGGATAAGACAATTTCGTATTCTTTCCATCCTTGTAAAGAGCATATCCAAACACTTGCTGAGAATCAATCTCTGTCACGCAATCTACAGGCAAACGATTAACCACAATTATGAGACAAAAAAATGCTTTGAGATTCGAGCTAGTCAGCTAGATGACTATTGATATTTCACAAGAATAAGTTCACGTTGGTCCCCGAAGTTTTCTTGCTTACCATCAAGACCCAACTCAATCAACTTGAGGTAGCCTCCAGGTTGCAGCAGTTCACCAACGATTCTGTCAGGCTCAGACAAATCTCTTTCAATAACACGCACTCTACGTCCTTCCTGCAACAATTGAAGAGGGAAGAAGAATATAAGGTGTCTGATTAAATTGTCATCAAAAAGAGAGAAAAGAAAGAGAAAGTTAGGAGAAGCTAGAAACTGTCACCTTGCCAAGAGTGTATGCAAGGGCTGAACCAGCAACGCCTGCTCCAACAATGATTATATCTGCACTTGTAGCTATCTCTGATCCACATGACATTTCATTCTGAGTGCTCTTCAAACATTCATTCTCTTCAACCCCCATTGAAGAAGCTCCATTCATCTTTTTTCTTCTTATTTGGTACATCAGGAAAAAGCCCAGAAGAGAGGCTATAACTCCTCCCACTATAAACTGATCAACCATCTTCAAAGTTCAATAAAAGTTATATCAAGCAAAAGGCCTATTGTTGTTGTGCTGTGATTTACGTGTTAGTTATGTTGCCTTTTATAGGCTTGTATTGAGCTCAGAAACAGCTTGGTTTTGGGATTTTTAAACTTATTTCAACCCTTTGTCCAACAGGGTTTGTGCTAGTGATCAAATTTCAATGTTGACAAATTAAAAACCAGAAAGTATGGTTTAATTTCCCTGGGTTTTACTAAAACAAACTCAAAACAATAATTCAAAGTGCCTATGACAAAGGATTTATATTTGTCTCGTATGCAAAACATGATTGTCTGCCTAACTTAAACTTGTTAGTCAAAGGGATAGTAATAGAATACAGCTATCCAAGAAAGACTAATTATAGGTCCTGAGAGTTTGGTGATATGTGAATTGTATGATTGAAATGGTAAAATGTTCAGCAATAATGGTTTTCCAGGTTTTGGACAAAACCATGGGAGCCAAACAGGGGGTGACAGATTACTGATGGTATATTAAAAGAAAAATTATACACTATTGATAGTATATTAAATGAGGACTAAATCTGATCAAGTATGGTCAATTTTTCAAGTTTTCAAAACAATGGGAGCTATCCAAACAAGGGATGAAATTAGAGTTTTTAAAAAATAAAAATCCTCCAGTACTGCAACAATTAGCAAACAAATCATAGCATAACTAGCATTGAAATGAAGTGTGAAATTTAGGCAGAATGATAGGCTGTGGTAAGTCAGAGTCCACCAATGCAAGCCAATGCCAATGGTCCAATCTTTTCATTTTACAGTTGCTTTACTTGACTTATTAATTTTTATTTTTAGGTTTATTTATTATGAAAGATAATAAGTATTGAAGTTTAATTTAATTAGTTCATGAAGTTATTTTTAAAAATAATATTTAATATACCTAAAATTATTCTTAAAAATTATATTTAATGAATTTAAATTTTAAATTTTAACATTTATAAATTTTTAGATCACGATATCTTTTATATAAAAAAAAATCATTCTTATGTTTAATCTTCAATTATGAGTACCAAGCTTTATTAACATTTTTCCCAAGGAAGAAAGTACCAAAGATATTCACAATTAAGATCATACTTGTTGGTTTAAAAACATTAATCTGTTGGTTTGTAACATGGTTAATCTGGATGGAATCTTTGGAGAAAGATTCAATCAAAGCAAGGACTTTATTTAATAAAGGAAAGTTTTTTTCACTTAATGCTGAAATCTATATTCTATGTATAAAAACTATCCCTAAAGGATAGTATGTTGACATGTGGCAGGTCATTGCTTGTTATTTGTTATTTTTTTTATTGTTTTTAATTTTTTTCAAATATTTTTAAAAGTTAGTATGTTAAAAACCCTTTATTTACCATGTAAAAACTTTTAAAATAAAAAAATTCAAAATAATTATTTGTTTAATTATAATTATAATAATAAAAAAAACGTAATCAAAGTTGAGTATAGAAATGATTAGGGATGTAATTGAGTCGAGTCGAGTCAAATAGTGAGAAGCTCGAGCTCAAGCTCGACTCACAATTTGGGGCTCGATACTCGGTTCGAGCTCGATTGAATTTTATTTTTCAAGCTCGAACTCGATTGTTGATCGAATTCAAGTTACTCGAGCTCGTTCGATTAAGCTCGATTAATATATAAAAATAAGCTCGATTCGTATACTCGACAAGAGTTCGATTATTCATGCTTGAACTCGAACTCAAAATATTTTATTAATTAAAATAATCAAAATATATTTAAATATAAAAGTTCGATTAAGCTCGTGAGCTACTCGAGCTCGAGCTCGACTCGACAATAATCAAACTGAATTCGAATTTTCTTCGAATTGAACTCAAATAACTTGCGAATACTAATGTATCATTTACACCTTTAGAGACGATGATATGTTATTGACAATTATAATGCCTTCAAATGCTTTTGTAAAAGAAAAAAAATAAAATACCTAAATAATAAAAAAATTTATAAAAATATATCTAACTTATTAAAGAAAAAATCAACCTTCAAAATCTTAAAACTAATCAACTTATTAAATTTCAATCACTTATTAAGATAAAAAAAAATTGCAACTAAAAATAATGAATTGAAAAAATAATCTATGTGAAAATCAACTAAAAAATCTCACAAAAATAATTAAAATTCTTTAAAAATTATCAGATCTAAAATTTAAATAATTTATAAAAATGTCTTTTAAAAACAAAAAATACATAATTAAAAAATAGAAATATTAGATTTGAAATTTTTAATAAATTACAAAAAAAAATAACAACAACCAATCAATATAAAATTTTTATATTTTTTAATCTAAAAAAATTTAAAAACTAAAATAATAAAATTTTAAATTATTTTTTTATAAAAATAGAAAAATGGACATGAAGAGCAGGGGTAAATAGATTGTCAAGTAATGTCAATAATTTCTGTCTTTCAAGAACTTGAAAGACATACAGGAACAAACAAGATCTTGGAAAATTTAGACAATCAATAAAGGGAAGAGGGACACGAAAACTGCTTGTTTAATCCTACAATTATTGAATATAATAATACTAATTGTCACGTGATAATCTTAGGACAAGACATTTGACTCCAATTTTGGACAAAGGAGGTTGACATTTTGTTCATTGAACTCATTTTAATAATTTGTCTTTTGACTATTTCTCACTATTTTAACTAAAAAAAATCCAAGTGCAGATAATTTTCAGTTTTGATTAATTATTACTTACGAAAGCAAGAAAATAAATTTTTAATTGATGTGTAATCACCGAGAAACCAATTTTTTTTTTTTAAATTACTTCTTTCTCGACGGTAATGTATCTGTTTTTTACAATTTTTTTTGGTGTAAAAAAATTTAAGAGCAAAAAAAATTTAAACTTATAAATCGTCTATAAAAAAAAATCGTAATGGAATTTAAACTTAAATATTAATACTTTCGGTGTTAATCTCTTATCACTTTTACCAACTCTCGTTTGTTATTTACAATTTAAGGTATAAATGAATGGCATGTGGGAAATTGATAAGGGTCAAATCAAATAACAAAATATAATTGTCAATTGTGAACCCCACGTATCTTTGCAATTAAGGAAGTTGATACAAGACAAAAGCTCAATTATTTTGAAAGCCACCCACAACTACCTTTGTTGCTGCTCAATTATCCCCAAAAGTAACACTCTTTATCATTGCACCAAACATTAGTTTAAAAAAAAATAAAATCTTTAAGCACTGACTTGAATTAAGCCTCGACCAATATAGTCGATATTTTATATGCTAACAAAAAAAAAAAAAAAAACCCTCATTTATTGGAACGGTTGAACTGATTTTCAGCATTTAACGTCATCATTGTCACGTTAGAACCTCAACACTTTGTTTGGGATATTTATTAAGTCGGTTCAATTAATTTTAAATTGAGTTATTTAAAATTAAATAAATAAAATTGAATTATTTTATTTTTGTTAATTAAATTAAATTTTTTATTTTAAAAATTAACTCATCAAAATTAATTCTATCGATTTGATTAATTTTTTAAGTTAATCGAATAATAAAATATATTAAATTAAATTATATTTTAAATTTTAAATTTTTTATATTTAAAACAAATTAAATAAAATCATTCAATAAAAATATTTAAATACCAAATTATTAAGTTCAAACCTTTAATAACTTGAAACAAAATGTAATTTCATATATTTTTAGTCATATAGATAATTTTATTATATTTCAATTAAAATTTCAGTCAATTTAATTTTTAAATTGATGTCAAAAACTAAAATTTTTTAAAAATTATTTTTAATAATCGATCGAATTTAATTTGATTATCAGTCGATTAATCAAATTAAATCGATTCGATTGATTAACTTGAATAAAACTAAATCATGAATGCCCCTTGTTGCAACCAAGCACATTTAGTTTTTGTTCAAAGCAAAACCAGAGGCTATAGTTGAAATCTGATTTGCAAGAATTTTGGTGATGTGAAAAACATTGCTATGTTAAGATTGTACTTGATTCAAAACAAAGAGTGAAATGAGATTTCAATTCTTTCTAATAATAACAACCAACATAATTCCTCTTGTACACTTGCTTTGTTTCCCAGGCAGAAAGTAATAAAAAAATGTGGTAGGGAGGAAAATTACTGATACAACTTAGTTTGCTTAGTAGTAAAAAAACTTGGCGTGTTCTGAATTTTCGTTGTTTCCTCAATCGGAGGAGCTCTGTAATATGCTGGCACAGTTCCAGGGAAAAACATTTGTCTAACTCCTTCAGCCTTGATAATTGGGAAAATGATGCCTGATGCACCCTGGAAATAGTAACGGATTATGAAGGAAACAGAATTGGTAAAGCAGAAAAGATGTAACAATGTTTGATGGAGAGATACAGACCGAAATCAATCGAGCCCCTGTCCAAATGCGTTTGGGTAAAGGAAATGGAAGTAACAAGCGGCCAACGCCATATATTGCCACGGCAAAAAAATGAAGCACCAGGCTTATGGGGCGGGGGTTTAGACCGGAGAGTAGGGATATTGGTCCATATGAAAATATGCCTCCAAGGCTCAAGTAGTCGAAACATGCTTGGCGCATTTCCTTCCTTGCAGGATCAGGGGAGGCGCTAAATACCTTGTATAGGGCATCAGCCAATGTGTTTATAGTAGATGCCACTGGCTGCAGATCGTAAAACTAATGTTTATTCTTCTGAATTAAAGTGTTACACTGTTACATAATTTTCATTCAATCTCAATGTTATATGTCCATCAAGAATGCATTTGTAGCTTACCTTCCGCAAGGTATAAAAGGATTCAAGATATTTGCAAAGAGCAGATGCATCGTATAGATCGGACAAGGGTCTTAGCAGATCCCTTAGGACAACAACATCAGATAGTGCAACAGTCATTCCCCCTCCTGTTAAAGGATGTCTCATATTGAATGCATCACCCATCAAAAGTGCACCAGGAGTTGGGTGTGGAGCTGCAGGCATGCTTCTGTTTGGCATGGTTCTTATGTTCCCCTTATCGATTGCGGAGATAAAGGCAGTGTACAGTTCAGAAGGAATCTGATATGCATAACAATCAAGTTGGTTAGAGTTAGACCACAAACTCTCAGAGGTTTGCAAAGGCTAGCGAACTTGATAAACCAGAGACATAAATACCTGGGGAGCCACCACAGTTTTCAAGTAATGGGTCATTTCACCATTAGAAACAGAAGGTACTTTTTGTCCAGGTACATCAACCAAGCAACGAATCTCAGTGCTGCTAATAGGATAAAACAAGATAGGTGAAGGGTCTGCCAATATAACATGTCCATGATTTGCATGTGGAAGCTTACAGTTCTCCAGAACCAAACCAACAAAACAAGAGAGGACATCAACCTGGATAAAAAATTGAATATCTTTATGTTGTCTTCCCAAATGTAAAACCAAGGTTAAGAGAGAATACTGTACCAAATTACAGTAAAAATGAAACCACATTGCATAAGAATTTCATCAATTTATGCAAATAAAACAAAGTGTTTCGTACAGAAGTTTGATTGATTTTAGTAAATGTTTGATATATGACAAGATTTGAAGAAGAATCTTCACCTTAGGGTCACAAAGAGAGCGTCGCAAATTCGAGAAACAACCATCACATACAATAGTAAGGGGAGCATATGCTTTCAACTCTTCACCACCCTTAGTTTTGTACTGAACTCCTTTGATAGTCCCATTTTCTTCAAGCAGAGATGTTACTGTTCCTTGTTCTAAACTCACACTGCATTATTGAAACGGAAGAGAATATGAACTGAAGTTCCTTTGATGGTCCCATTAGTTAGAAGAAAAACACACATTATCAATATGTACACATTAAAATTAAAACAGTAACTAAAATAAAACTGAGTCAAAAACAACACCTGACATGAAAATAAAAAAGTAAAATTGATGTTGGACATGGTCAAGTAATAACTATAGTAATTTATTAAATTTCATGTTTGTGAACGAGTTGTTATATATGAGAGAATGTGAAATCAAGCTAACAAAGCAAGGGAATTTTTAATTCTTCATTGATAAAAATAAAAGTAAAAACGGGAAGAAAAGGTCAAAATAGCAAAGTAAAAGTGGAATCGAGGCATCAGAAGATACAGAGCAATTGAAACAGTAAAAATGGTTATGATGGGAAGGAATATACTTGGGAAGAGAAGCAGATTTCTGCCTCATCCTTTGAATGAAACGTCCGTTATGAAAGCTTCTTCCTGCTACATCGGAGTGAAACTTTTCCAGGGGGTAAGACAGCCTGGTATTTTTTCCATCCTTGTATAGAGCATAACCAAAAACTCGTTGAGCGTCAATCTCATCTACACAATCTGCAGGGGCAAAAATCATTGTCAAAACCCTGGAAAAAAAAAAAAAACAAAAGAGATCAGATCCACAAGTGTGACTAAAGTTTCCTGCATATATACCTTCAAGACGCAATTCAATTAACTTTAGATAGCCTCCTGGTTGTAGAAGTTCACCAACAATTCTGTCAGGCTCATTTAAGTCTCTCTCAATCACACGCACTCGGCGCCCGTCCTGAAATAATTTTTTACCATTTTGTTACGTTTCAATTGCAGTGTAGTAGTAGTGTACATTAGAGAAAGTTGCAGAAGAATCCCTTTATAAAATGTTTACTTTGGAGTAAACTTTCAGACATGGAAATCAAGCCAAATTGCAAAATGAATCTATGCGTGAACTTTAAAAGCATATTAAAGCATGAACAAGAACCATTAAAATTCAAGGCAAAGAGAGATGTAGGGACCTTTCCAAGTGTATAAGCAAGAGCAGAACCAGCAACTCCAGCGCCAACTATGATAATGTCTGTACTACTCCCAGCAGGAACCTCCACGTTTCCCGTTTTCTGTACACAATTTTCCACTGCACACACGATAGACGAAGAAGCTTTTTTCTTGTTGATTAATCGTCTTACTAAAACATTGTACAAGAAAACAAACCCCAGTAGGGAAGCTACCACTCCTTCAACCATATGCTCGTAAGCCATAATATGAAGAAAAAAATGAATGATCAAAGAGGATCGAAGAGGAAATAGGGAGGTGAGGCCACTTGATGACTTCGTTTTTATTTTATAGTCCTATACCCCTTTCAAAGTTGTTTAATTTCCTCGAAGTGCTGTTTTCTGTCTTACGTGTGAATGAGGATGCATCGCTGCCGAACTTGGAGCCTCTTAAATACAGTTTGGCAGGTGCCCATGAAATATTTTCGTCAGTCTTAATATATCTTAATTAAAATTATTAAATTAATAAACATGCGGGCCATGGATTACCAATTCCATTACTACATGCAGTTTATGATTCTGGGACAGGATCATAGTCTTGTCTTTAGCTTTGGTTTTTCTTGCAAGACTCTAACTCTTTTTAACTTGGTTTTAGTTCACATTTATTGATAATAAAGTGGAGTTGATCAAACTTTTGGGTCAAAATTCTACACTGAAAAAAAAAAAAATTGAGTAAAAAAATTTGTACGAGCTTGAGTTGTTTGGTTTCCCCTTCTTCCAATAAACATTTTCTTATTCATATTGAAGAAAGATTCAAGTAATCCCTAATATAATACCTAATATAATACAAAATTATAACCATCATGCAAGAAACTTGAAACATAACAAATTATATTGTTTAAATTGTCTAAGTCAAATGATCTAATTGGAGTGGCTCTCCGAGTAAGATTGGATAAATTGGTCAAGGGGAGTTTGGTAGGATTTGGAAACATGATTGTAAAATATATATATAAAAAAAATGTACTCCAAGTTTGGAAGTAATTTCCTGGTTTTTCTAAACCAGGGAAGCCAAATTTGTGGTAAAGCCAATACATCATTGGAACAAATGTACAGTAGAATAACTTCATGAGTTTTAGAATGAGCTCCCTGGATAAAATTTTGGGGTTGGGTCAAGTCAATACTCGGGTTGACATACTTTGTCAAATCCTGTTTCTTTGATTTCTTAACGCTATTAAGTTTAGTTTGCAGATAGATCGGGTTTGATTTGATCTAAGAATTTATTCACAAAGAAAAAAAACACATGTACTTAATCTTCTAATTTATGTTATAATCAAACGTTGCACTATCATATATTCATAGTCTCATAGGGTGACAATGGATTTTGATCCCTTCATTATGTTTTTTTTTTTTTTAAATAAGAAAATTCTACTACTAGAATATTGCTGATAAGCCTTGGATATGGAATGGCACCGACCAAACCTTCCAGGCATGCTCGTACTGAGTATACATGGAAGAGTCGGGGTTTTACTTCCAATGAACTGCCTTTAGATTATCAGACTTTTAGTTCCATAATCAAAATTTAAATCTTGACAATGTGGTAAAAGAAAACTTGAATTCAATCTTTATGCAATTACTTTTAGAAAACGACATTTATCTTACTATTATGGTTTTTTTTAATAAAAAATACTTAAAACTAATTAACTACATACACTCTTACGAAAATGAAACATGGAGGAGTAGGTAAAAGATAAAACCTGCAAGATTCGTTTTAATACTCAGTTTAATTTGGCAAACTTTAGTTTTTTTTCTTTTAAGAAATTGACTAACTTCGGTTATAATCCTCAAGAAAATGAGAAACATGTCTTATTCCTGTCCAATTATATACACATATATATGTATATATATGTGTGTGTGTGTGTAAACTCTTTCAAGAATGTCTTATTCCTGCCTAACCTACCATGTGCCACTTAATGTACAATCCCCATTTTGCCAGTCCATGATATGTATCTTACCTTGGTTATTATTAGTATTATTTACCTTTTTTTCCCTTTATTATTATACATAAGTCAAACTATATAACCCATTAGATATGTGATTAAAATGAAAAGAAGATTAAAAATTGATTGCTAAAGTCAGCTAGTATTTTCTTTCGCCATCTTTGAATTTGATTGCCATTGTTGATGGAGGAATTGGCCATGCCATAACAGAGACTGCAGTTTTAAATATTTAATTAATGAAGAAATAAACGGAGGGAGGAATGAGTTGAGACAGTGGTAGGCAGGCGCTGTGGGGCATGCAAATAATTAATAATACCATGCTATATGATTATGATTTATGAACCCGGACTTAGATTGCATAACCAATTATTTTAGATTTCGTTTCGTATACGTGGTTGCTCAAGCTTTTAGAGTTCACAAATGGAATTAGAAAAAAAAAAAAGAAAAAAGAAAGAAGCAGTACGACATATTATAAGCCACAAGAAATTTAGGCAAATTTCAGATATAATAAAGGTCCCATACCGCCTAAGCTGAGCGGTCTTCTAGTGTCACAGGTCGAGACTTAAGTTTCGATCCATGCGACTTCGAGATTCGAGTATTCATTCATTTGATATCTTGTATTAGTTTAACTGTCACGGTTCACACCATTATGAGATATTGTCTACTTTGGCCCATTTGACCTCATAGTTTTATCTTACAAAAGGTACCTCACAAGAAAGAGATGATGTGAACCCTTTTATACCCCAGTGATCCTCTTTTTATGTCCAATGTGAGATTAAAAACTCATTCTTAGGTCCGTGACATTCTTTCCCATCCAATTTCGTGACACTTTCGTCACAGAAGCTGACCACCCTACCTACCTCCCTTGAGGCGTTTGACGTGGATTGAACGACTTAGGGCTGGTTTTGATACCTCTTGCATGAGTCGAGACTTAAGCTTCGACCCGTGAAGCTTCGAGACCCAGGCATTTACTTATCCGATGTGTCCCGAATCAGCTTATCTGCTACGATTCACACCTTGTGAGGTATTGTCTGCTCTGGCTCTTCTGACATCACGATTTTATCTTACAAAAAGTGCCTCACAAGAAAGAGATGGTGTGAACTCTTTTATACCCCAGTGACCCTTCTTTTATGTCCGATGTGAGATTTATGATTCCTTCTTAGGTCCGTGATACTAGTGGTAAAATCCTAAAATCAGAAAAAAAAATAAAGATAAAGGTTAATAGTAGTTCCGATGTTTGAACTCTAACGTTCAAATTAAAATTGGTCAAAGAAGTATATACGAAGGAAAATATGAAGAAATATAAGAAAACAAGATAGATCAAATTATACTTGAATGGTGCAATTTATATTTGTACTATAGGAGATTTTGGACAGCTTAGACTACTAAAGGTCAACCCTAAAGGATGACTTATAAGCCGAGTTAAGTTGGACATTAATCATCTAGTTAGAAGATTACAAGTCAGCACCTAAAGGGGTATAATGAGTAGACTGATGAGGTAACCAAGTTAAGGTGATACCATGGAATTAAGTCGGCTTAACACATCAGCTCAATTAAAAAATAAAAAATAACTTTGGCTGTTTATTGACTGTCTTTAATAAAAAAAAAGGAAAATTCTAAATGCAACCCATTTAATGCTATATACACCCCGTTTTTATATACACTATAAATTCAAAACTCATTTCTCTATTTCTATTAAATACACCTCACCTTTCACTTTAACTTTTTCCATTATTACCTTTTTTATCTTCTTCTCTCTTCACTTCCTAACATTAAGTTTCTCAAAAATGAATATCCAAAAAACTTTACAGCTTTTTGAGAATGGATATCTGAGAATTTTTATCGAAATTGATATCTAAAAAGCTTTAAAATTTCTCAGATATCCATTTTCAAAAAACTTCAAAACTTTCTGAATATTCATTTCTAAAAAGTCTTATATCTTCTCGGATATCCATTTTCAAAAAGCCTTAAGGCTTCTTTGAAAATAGATATCCGAGAAGATATAAGACTTTTTGGATCTCTATAGCCAAGAAACTCGATTTCACTTTTAATAAAAAACTTTAATTATGCATTTATAAACCCATTTACTTGATTATGTTTGTGAATGGAATTGAAATTAATATTTTCATTATGCATAGAATAAATTGAAATCGTTTTCTTGGTTTTCTAGGCTCAAGACAAAAACATTTTTATTCCATGCATACTTGAGAACTTGGTCTCTTCTATTTGCACATATAATCAAGTAAGAATGAACATATCGATGACTTTTGTGTGTGCATGCATGCTATTTTAAATTTGAGCACCCTATAGAACATTATCATTGATAATGTCATCAACAAACTGGCAAATTCAATAATATCTAATTTTTTTTATCACAAATCTTTATTGTCGAATTTACCAGTCAATTGATAATATTTTTCAATGGCCTAAGTTAGAATTTTTTATTTTTTCGTTATAAAAAATTTATAATTAAATATATATTTTAAAACAAATTTTATGTATTCTCGAAAACAAATTTTATGTATTCTCGAAAACAAATTTTCAAGAGTACATTATGACTCTCGAAAATCCATATAAGTTTCAAAAATAGATTTTCAATAGATTTTTTTGTTTTCGGTAATTTATTTTTGAGAATTATATTATTTTTTTCGAAATGAATTTTCATGAACACATTATAACATTCAAAAATTTAATTTTGAGAAATACAATATGATTTTTGAGTGTATAAACTATTAAATGTATTTTTAATATTTATTAAATGTTAAAATTGACATTTGATATGTGTGTATTTTTGTAAGAAAATTTTAAAAATATATAAAAAAATTTTGTTGATGTATTTAAAACACCCTTAAGAAGAAATGACTATTCTGTATTTTGAATTAAAAAATACCTTTAACATATATCATTATTTGTGTCTTAGAAGTTGGCTTTGCATACTTTGACAAAAATAAATTAGGAAAGATGTTGATAAAGGAAAATGCAAAAGAAAACAATAGAAGTAGTCTCCATAAAATTGTAAATTTAAAAATTTTTGTATTTTTATTATATGAAATATTAATAATTCATATATTTATATCATATTTAATATAAAAATTATGTCATAAATTCATAATTTATATAGATATGAAAAATATAAAATATATTTTTTTTTATTAAATTTATATAATTTTTATTAAAATTTTAATTTATATCATTTTTATATATTTTGATTCCGTGTTAACTTTTTTTAAAATGACAAATCTAAGGCAAAACCGCAAAAGTAAGGCGAGGTATCGTGAACAAGAGCCATGGGCAAAAGTAATTAAATCCATTAATTAAAATAAAAATATCACATAACCCATATTAGGTATCTCAAATGAAGCTGCCCAAAAGTTGACCCAACTGTCGACGCATTGAGCCGAATAGGTTAAATTAGTTCTGTTCACTATGAAACAGTAGTTAGGCAAAGCCTAGTCCAAATTGAATTAGGCTTAAGGTTTTTGACCGAAATTGGCCAACTTGTTCTAAAAGTCCAAACATGCTCCAAAGTCAAACCCATTAAGGACTGCAAATTCTAGCAGCCCCTTTAGCTCAGTGATGTAGCTCAAAAAAAAAAAAAAAAAAAAAAACAACGCACAACAAAACGCAAAAAACAAACAATAAAAATATAATGATATATTAAATATTAGATTAAATATTTTTAGTTTTGATTTTTTTATTAAGAAAACGGCAGCGGATTAGTTAATTTTGATTTTTTTATAAATATTTTTAATTTGGATTTTTTATTTTGGATTAGTTTAGGGTTGGATAGCGGGAAACGGTTATTGTCTCAATTTCTAACATTAAATTTACCATAACATCCTTGTGATGCAAACTGGATTACAATCATGTCTACAACGGGTACTTTCGCAACCTCCAAAAAAATTGTTAAAAAATTGAGGCTCCTGAGTTCGTGGACCTCACCGCACCCGATCGTTGCCTCCCTGAAAATGATGACCGTTACTGGTTCTGCCTCCGTGTCGGTGAGTTTCCTTTTTCTTCTCTCGACTTTGCTACTTTGATCCGTAACTGAAACTTCAATTAATTTGTAGATAAGAAAAGCTTAAAATCTGTGTGTGGGCTTTCCTTAATTTTTGTTAAATGTTTTTCATTGACTTATGCCACAATGTTTTGGTTGTTCTTATTGCTTAGGGTGTGATCAAAAGCATGAAGAAGAAATGGACTCCGAAGCCATTTTTAAAAATTTTGTTCTTCGGGTTAGTTACAAAATTACGCCTTTTCTTTTTTCTCCTACTTCTCATATTTTTGTCAGTGATTGATGAACTTAAGCAACGAGTCTTTCAGGTTATGGCAGCCAGGAGTCCAAGCATTTGGCTTCAAAAAGCTCTTTACAGAAAATATTTAAGGTACTTTTCTTATTTTTGTACATGATAGATTGCATTGACATTACAATTTTGGTTTTGATTGTTATGTTAGTTCAAATGTGCAATGCCCCCGAACTGTTCCTGCCAAATCTTCAAAGTCTAAGTGTCAAGATTGGCTATGATTTCATCAATTTCACAAAAGATGGGTGAAGCCAAAGTGAAAGCTAGATGTGTTCCTAAGCAGAGTGCAACTACCCCAAATGTGAAGGCAGCAAAGCAACTATCTACCAAGGCCTTGACTACTCCAAGAAACAAAAAGTGCCTCTCACATCAAGGTACTTTTCGAAGTGTTCGGAACCCCAAACCGGCTACCATTGAGGTGCCAAAGAATAGAGTGGTGGCCAAAGCTTTGGTTTTTCACTCTCCAAAGAAGTCAGTGAAGTTGAAGAAGTCTGTAGAATTAACAAAGATATGTGCAGGGATGAAGAAGCTTGAGATCACTGAGAAGAGTACATTGGGGAGTAATAAGACTTTAGATGCTTCAAGGAAACAGTTAAGAGGAAGAGAGGTTAAAAGCCGGGTATATGATTCTTTGCTTTCTCAGAATCAGAAGAAGCAGGAAGCTAAATCTTTAAATTGTTTGAAGAAAAAGAACAAGGGAACAGACTTGCAGTTGTCCAAGGGACCTATGTCTCATGAACCGAAAGAAAAGGACTCAACTGAGAAGAAGATTGAGGCAGAGGATGGCTCTTTGGAAGTTTGCTCAACTGAGAGGTTGGAGCAAGCAATAGACGAGAAAGTCAAATTTTCATCTCCCTTAAGGAGTAACATGACCTCCATTTCAAACTCTGAAGGGAAGAATGCTGGAGGTGCTGATGTTCCCAAATCCCAAAATGGAGGACAGAATGAAATTAATGACAGGGGCAGCCATGAAGAGAACATTGAACCATGTTCTAAGGGCAAGGAAATCCTTGAAGCCATGGCGACTGATGGCAAAGAAAATGCTTTGGCATCTCACATGAAAGTAAGCGAAAGCAAAGTCATGGAGATTGACGATAAGGAAAATGCATCAGCTTTTGATGTAGACAGGTATGGAAGTCGTGACATGTTTTTTATACTTATGTTTATTGGTCACTTAATTGTTTGCATTGGCCATTGATTTCGCATGACAATTAATTGCAGAAGATTGAATTGCACCATTGGAAATTTGGTGAGAAATAATGTTTTTGGGAAGCATGGAGCTTCTAAAAGTATTCAAAAGGTACTTGTTAATAAGAAAGTCATATTCATTTTTGAATATATGTTTCTTGATTGTTTGCCACCATGTCATTTTCGGATATCTGTTCATGACGATGCAGGTAACTAAAGTAACCAGTAACACGTTGAAAGAAAACTCATCTGCAGTCAATGGTGCTCAAGGGATGAAGTACAGAAAACCTAAGCTCACAAATCCCAAGCCTTTTCGGCTTAGAACTGATGTATGCAAATTGTTTATTGAGTGGATGATATTAAAATGAAGAAGGCAGAAAATTTTTCCATGTTATCTGATTATTCACTGGATGTTTAGGAAAGAGGAATATTAAAGGAAGAGCAAACCTGGAGAAGAAGCATCTTCAAGCACCATTGAAAGAAACAGCAACCTTTCCAGGATCCCAAAGTGGAAACTCATGGAGAAAACATCAGAATGTACAAGTTAGTGCTTTAAGTTTAGACCTGTTATTATATACATGGAATAAATAAAGCCCTGGACTAATGGTTTTTTTTTTCCCTGTCTACAGAGAAATGAAAAGTGCCTTGGACAATTTGGAACTGTTAATTGTGCACATGAAGGCAGTGACAATGAATAAGATGCAAGAACTCCAAAAGATCAAACAGTAAATTAATTTTCTAAGAACTAGAAAAAAGAAAGAGGGAAAAGTCCTGTATACTGCTTTTCATGGCTGTTTACAGATCATATAGGGATTTTTCTGAAATTATCCTATGATACACTATGTAGCAAAATATCAAAACCTCTAGCTCGAGGATTTCGAAAGGATCTATAGAAAGAAAACTTTCTATCACTCCACAGAAACGTACTGTTCCCATGTATCAGAAAACCAAATTTCCATCACTGCTGGAAAAAGGCCAAGATAAGGTAGCTCTGAAATCAGAGGGCAGATTGGAAAAGACTAAATTACGGTCCATCAAACAACTAGTAAGACCACGAGGGTAAGTAGCAATTAGAAAATACCCTTTTTGTTTATCACTGAAAATCTGTGTGTTCTCTAGACGACTAAAATATATTCCCAATTCTTGCGGGGTGGCATCAAGTAGGAAGAAACTGGTTTCTCTCATGAAACCTGGTCAACTTGGTGTAATAAAGGAAATGTCACCTACAATGTCCAGACCCAAGGAAATATCAGATCCTGACGAGATTAGAACTTCCTTAGCGACCAAAGCTGCTACTTCTAATGCTTCAAGGCCATCACCTCAGGGAAGAAGGCATACAACCAATCCGAAAGAGCCAAACTTTCATAGCATTCATGTTCCAAAATGCTGCACAAGGAGATAGTCCATGTGTATTATAATCACCGTGGCTTCAAGCCAACCCTCTTTTTGTTGATTTTTTTTTCTTTTTTAGCAGCTGTGTTTATTATCATGATCTTAAGGGAAATGCAAGTTCCTTTAAGTAATTGTTTGTAAGCTTGTAACATTTGTGGTACGAGAATAACATTTATTAATTCATTTACAAGATATAACTATTTTTATTTGTGTTACTGTTCCTTGTTTTGTGTTCTCTTGGCTTGTGATACAGTAATTTTCAAGTGTTCTCTTAGCTTTTCAATGTCATCAATTAGATCTCATAAACTGTTCTCTTCCAAGCAAGCATGGCGAGTAAACGTCGCTTCAAGAGGATATATCTTATTAGAGGTAAAAAAAAAAATATCAAAAGTTAAACGTAAAGGCTCAAAGAGCCAGCCGATCAAATAAAATGATCCAATAAATTCAGGATCAAAGAATATTCGATTACTTGGCGATGTTTCTCTCCAGGTCCCCCATGAAGAAACACAAATGATTGCAAAATATGAAAACCTGGTAATGATTAGCCGAAAAATAATTCCTAACTGCTAATGCTACATAAAAAAAGATCAATTGAAAAAGAGGATACAGGCAATGGATACTCATATGGCAATTTGGGTTTCCAGATTGCTCCCAGTAAATTGTGTGAACATCAGTAACCTTAAAAAAACCTGTGCTATATGGCTCTATAGCTGGATAAAGATTCCTGTTAAGTTCTTGAATTTCCAACCCTGACTCCATTATATCCCTTAACTGAGTTTCAGTCTTATAACCAACCCTTTGCACCCACTAAGGTTACTTCTTTTTCCCTGCAGAGAGTCAAAGCAAACAAATTTGTACAAACCCATATGCACAAATGAATAAAAAAGAAAACTTTTATAATTTCAGTAAAGAAAAAAGGGGAGGGGCAGGAGGGGGAGACCTGAGAAAGTGAAATTGTTGGAAACTGAAAGAAGGGATGAAGGGAAGTGGCGAAGGGAAGAAGGAATTGTAGGAAGTGAAGAGAGTGTTTGACTTTGAGACAAATTTAAACCGTAACGTCATTTTTACATATTGTAATTGTCACATGAGTTGGATGCTCAGGCTAACGGATAAGCATTGCATTGGCTGGATTATTATCTTTTTCTGATTTGCATATTGGGTTTATGTTGGTTTATCTCAATATTATATACACATAAAAATATATATTCACACATAATTCATTTTTTTATATCAATTTTTCTAACATGATAATCAAGGGTCTTAATTCTTTTTTTTTTTTTTTAAGCTGCGCTTTTTTGTTGGAATTGGTTTGGAAAAGGCTATGCAAGATGCATCAGAGACGGTTGCAAAGACAGAGCAGGTTAAACAGAGAACAGCCAAGAAAGAGGTTGAAGTTAAAAGGATGCTTGAGCTGTTTTGAAGTCTAAATTGAAGAAAATTGGGAACTTGTGCATGATTCGGTTCCCGTCAGTGACGATGAGGTGAGTTTTGCAGCAAATTTTATTCATTTCGGTGGTTTTTGATTCCTAATGCTTTTAATCAAAGTAATTTACTTATCTCACCAACACAATGCAGGCAAATAATGCTGTGATTAGAACCTGGGATGAAAAGAGGTTGAATCCTAAGCTAAAGAATCATGTCGACCTTATTGATCTTCTTGGGATTGCAGATACAAAAAAGGGTAATTACATTTTTCACACTGCTTATTGGTTTTAAGCTATTATGGATCCATTTTTGATAAATAGTAGGCAACTCCTTGGGAGTAAAGAAAACAAGATATGTGAGTTTCTAGAACCCTAGGCTGTATTTCTCATCATGAACTTTACATTGTTTTATGCATGAATTCAGCTAGCAACTTGGCCTGGTTCGTTTCACTGTTGAATCATTTTAGATGATTTTCCATCATCCTGTACCGTAGGGTGCTGATGTAGCAGGAGGTAGAGGTTTCTACCTAAAAGGAGATGGAGTGCGTCTTAATCAAGCTTTGATCAATTTCGGGTTTGATTTTTTTGGAGAAAAGGGGGTATACAGCAGTACAAAACACCGTACTTCATGAGAAAAGATGTTATAACCAAGTGTGCTCAGTTGGCACGACTTGATGAGGAACTTTCCAAGGTAACATTTTGAAATTGCTTTGGGGACCTTTTCTTGTACTGAGATGGTCTTGATTCTTTCTTTACAAGTTAAAATTTTGAACCATTTTACAGAATTTAGATGATTCAATTCTTGTATGGACTTTACTTTCTATCAAGGCAGTATTCCTGTTATATGTTAGGAAAAAGAAAGAAAAGAAAATGGCTGTTGTTCTTTATGGTTAGGAACGTGTCTTTCATTAGCAGACATATTCTATTCACCAATAATTTCTAATTGCATAAAGAAAAAGTCATGACTGGTTTAGTTGATGTTCAATAGGTGACTGGTGAGAGTGATGACAAATATCTTATTGCAACAGCTGAACACCCACTCTGTGCTTTCCATATGTATGATTGGATCTATACCTCAAAGCTATCTATAAGATTCTAACCACGTGAATGCAATGCCTCTATCTTATTTTTAAAGTTTGACATCTCTATTAAATAGAATTTAATTACAAAATTAAAATTATATTAGATATTAAAATTAAAAAAATAATTTTTATCATGTAATATTTAATGACTTGTAATACTTAATTTTTATTAATTTATAATTATTCTAATATTATTTATAAAAATTTATATCTAATCTGATTTTATTATATAAAAAGTATTTCATAAATTTAAATTTAAATGTTTCCATATATATATATATATATTATTTTTACATTCTTTCGATTGAAAACGTTATAGATTTTTTACAAAAATGACTTAAGGACAGGGAGTCGAAACCAAGGCGTAGAAAGGGGATAAAATCGTGAATAAAACGAAAATCAATGGCACGGTGTAAGATGAAGCTTTTGTAACCATCGTCGTCGCCCGTGCACCGACGACAACACCGTTGAGAAAGAGAGAAAATGGTTTTGGAGGCGGCTTGTTCTTTGTTAGAAGGGTGGAGAAGGCTGTCGGGGAAGGGACGTGACATGAAATAACCAATCAGAAGAGAGAAAAAGACAGAAATGCCATTGGTCGGCATTTGTCTCCCTGTCCCTTTCCGTGGTAATCGAGTGATTGTCGTAAAGCAAAAGAAAGAATAGAAGAGGTAACGACGTCGTTTGATGGATCATAAAAAGACCAAAGCCAAGGAGTTGGCGCCGCCCGGACTCGAACCCGAGACCTTAAGTGTGTTAGACTGACGTGATAACCATCTACACCACGACACCTGTGATGATTTTCCGCAAATATAAGATATTTCTACTATTTCCCCCATATGGGCTTTAAATATGGGTTTCTGGAATTGCAATTAGAATACTGAGACCAAAAGAATAAGGAAGAAAAATAAATAAAATAATTGCTTTATTTTCGTTTCGTTTTATGTTATTGCCATATATATTTATATTATTGTTATCATTTTCTCGTTTTGTTCACTTTAAATGAGGAATAGTATCCAATGATATAATTCAATACGATTGCAGCATACCTATTATGACAAACCTCAACTCATTTGTGATAGCCTTCAACATGCCTTTTTTTTTTTACTTTATTTAAGCAATTTCTTTGATTTTCTTATATAGAATGGACTTTGTTCTCATTTCGACTGATTGCTTAAAAATAATTATTATGACCTAAGTTTGCTATCGAAAATCTTTTCAATCTCGCATGAGTACCACAGATACCATTCTGCATGTCCATCTCATTTAAGTATAAATTAATGAAAACTATGCTTAATAAGCCCATAGATGGGATCCTCCTACCTTTGATATAGCTTAAAATAATATTATTATTTTTTAATTTTATCATTTTACGTAAATAAATTTTTATAATTTTACTGTATTTAAATAAACTTTTAATTTTTAATTTACATTCAAATAAATTTTTAAACTTTAATTTGTATTCAAAATAAATCTTTATTTTTTAATTTATATCTAAATAAACTTTTAATATAAATTAATTTTTATTTAAAATAAAATTTTATTTGAATATAAATAAAAAAACTTATTTAAGTAAATAATGATTTATTTAAAAAAATAAAATAATTCAAATTTTTTTTTAATATTTCAACCTACAGTATATCTAAATCACTTTTCGATAAACATTATTGTTGCTGTCTTATACATAATTATGTTCATTTTTCAAATAGAAAACGTGACTGATAAACTTAATTATGAACCACATATGTCAATTATCCGTAACTATCACGATTGATATAATAATCAACTCATCAATGAAAAACCAATTTAGCCATTCTGTGTAAGGAGGATTGAATCATGGTTCACGAGGGACTAAAGTCGAATCAAAATTCAAT